AAAAAAAGGAAAATGTATAACCAGACCTCAACAGACGTTGTTGCAAATTTGCAAAATTTGCATGCATGTGGTCCTCCCTGCACATGTACATCTTCTCCATCTTCCACTTCTTCCGGATCGATGGCATCTTCTTGAGTATAGGTGACCGCTCCCGTAAGAGAAGAAGTGGCATAAACACCATCAACATCGTCGTCATCCAGCATGGGTAAAACTGAGAGATAGAGTAAGCTATGAGACCCAAAATCAGGATTCCAAAGGCACTCACTCTCGTTTTCATCCGTTCTTTTTGGCGGGCGCCCTCTTTTTCTTGCCACAGCATTAGCAGGCTTTCGTATGACTTTTCCTCTACTAGGAGAAAATGGCTCAAGAGGAAAAAAACAGAAAAGTAGTTTGCTCACCCCTTTTTACTGATGTCCGCCAGTGGCACGCCTCCCAAATTGATCTTCAATTTAACTCTCGGCTTTTCTACCCCGTCTTCGGTGTAAGTGGTCTCGAGCTGATGCGAAATTTATAACAACGTTGTACAAAACATGAAAATGAGAGAAAAAGAAAGATAACAGACGTCAAAATGCAGAAGTTCGACATTCGTTAAAAAGAAAAAATCATCATAATGTAATTATTATAAAACCAACTATGGTGCTTGTGCTGGGATGGCCTTCAACTGGCGTTTCATCATCATCCTCGTCTTCCATATGGTCAAAACTGAAAAAAAAAATTGATCATACTGCTTAGATCTTATGTTCCCTCAGCAAAATGGTCGCGAGAGAACGAATATCTCAATGCAATAAGAAGAAGGGCCCCAGAGATCCTAGCGACAACCGTTTCAGCGCGTAAATGCACAGAAAGAACAAAAAGTAACCTGGAGTCATTTTCGTAATCTTCATCTCCTGCGCCTAGAGCAACATTGGCTTCAAGCAGAGCGGCCGCAGCACCTTCTCCTCCAAATTGCTGCGCTAGTGAAAGAAACTGCTGTTCGTATTTAGGCATAGGAATGGCGTTCGCATGCCTGAATCAGTGATGACTTGGGGGTAAAAATTCAGAGAATGACACTACAAACTCACATAGCGCCAAGAAGAATATACCGACAATTCTGATTTTTCGTCAACAAAGGTGAGTAATCCAAAACAAATTCTAGAGCATTGTCAGATACGTCGACGACGCGGCATCGTTCCAACAAGGGTCGAAATGAAGATTCTCTGCTGGCCACATCTTCTCCAACCCAGCGTACGATAAGTCTGCCAATGCTACGGTAAAGCGGAAAAAGGTGGAAAAAATGGTCACTGCAAAGAAAGCTTAGTCTATCCAAAAAATTGTGAAACCTTTGAAGCTTTTAAGATGCGAGTTTTGAAGGAGGGAAACGATGTATAGACGATTAAGTTCAAACTCACTTGAGGTACACATCAGGGCTGATTACGTCTTGGTACTTGGGGTCCTCCAATATTTTGAGCAGCTGCTGCATCGGATACTTCAGAATGTCAACCGATTCAAGAAGACACCGATTTATATTGACGTCGAAATACTCTGACGCTGCCTGAAAAATAGATCATTCGATTTCTTCCCAAAGCAAGTGCCAAATTACCGCACTCAACCGGTTAATCCGGCTTACCCCATTCGCTACTGGTCAGTCCAATGATCTGACCAATGGCGAAGGTGAAGCGGATGAACCGGTTACACTGGATAAGTCTGGCACCCTGCCTAAGGTCAGTAGAAACAACCTTCAAAAGAGAAGGGAGGTTATATTTTGTCGCAAGTTGCCGCACCGACAATGAGTTTGCAGCATCCAGATACCTGTCGAGGTATTCAGCGCAGTAATTCTTGAGTTTGGTAACCTGCAAGGAGACCTTATAAGATATTTCATGGAGGAACAGTCTTACCAAGAAATTGTTGGCTAATCGGAGCAATTCGGCCACAGTAGTACGATCAATGACGACACAACCACTGTACATATAGTTCAGGAGCAATTCAAAAGCTTTCGGGTGTTGGCAGTTTACTACCACCTAGAATGCATAGAAAGTTAAAAATTATTTAGAAGACTCCATTTCAACGCACCTGCTCTTTCGTTACCTTCGTAGATTTCAGAATTGAGTCAAAATAAGGACTACAAGATGCCAATATGTTGCGATGCGCAGAAAATTGACGGTCTTTCACGACTATACACACATCGCAGAAGCGACCAGTCTCTCGCTGATATCTCATGCGTTCAAGGACTGAAAATGAAAGCTTATAATGTCAACCGAATAGCAGGAAATCTAATAGGAAAGAAGACTGCGGTAAGAAGCGTCTTTGAGAAGCTATTGCCCTTGCCGAAAACAAGCAAGAAACAGAGATTTCTGATAACGCTGACTAGCTTTATTTTTTTAATCTCTTGCTATCCAATCTCCTTTATGTGTCATCTATTCTATGACTAGGAAACGTGAGACCGCATTGCGGACATTGTCTTAACAAGTCTGA